CCCCAAAACCCCAAAACCCCAAAACCCCTTTAGTATGAATTAACATTGGAAATATATTATGTACTTTCTCAAGAATCACTAAGGATCTGTTAAAATTCTCGTTCCTAGTAGTGATGTCTTGTAGCATGCCTGAATTCACTCTAATAGCTTCTTCTGTGATACACAAAAAGCTCTTCACCTGAGATCTTGTATGATACTTCGTTTGCTACAAAGAAAGCAAGTGTTGACAAGACGATCAAAGACACTGGGGGCGAGTGTAGATCGTAAATTAGAGAGTTTGTATATTGAATGAAGCAATATAGAAGAGCATAAAGTATAAAACCACAGCATAATAATTCTCTTTTAGTGATTCTCAAGCTGTGCATCAAGACTGACTTAAGGCAAATTGGAGTTATATCATTAAAAAAGATTGCTACTTGTTTATAAATGATCCAAAAGAAATATAGTGGACGAATCTTCTGTGTAATGCTTTGCATCAAATCTGAGTTTGTTCAATTTGCAATTTCAGCTAAAAGAATCAGTATTAATAACTTAAAAGAAGAGCTATTTGCAAAAAGAATGTTATAAATCAAAGGAGAATTCTCCTTGTTGATAAATATATTGATCCATTTCACTATTGCTCTAATTATTAATCCAAATATTGAACTATCTTCTCTAATCTCAATTCCTTCTTCTGCAAAAAAAGGATGGTTAGCGTCTTCCTCCTGCAAGTTTACAGCTTCAGCTTGACAGAGAGTCCTTAGTCTTCTCCTTTCTTCTTCAGATCCATAATCTTCCATCAAGGTCTTGAAACTTTTTACTGAATTCTGGGTGATAGCATTACCACAGACGCATCTCTTCCTAAGATCAATATCATATTCGCTGGCTTCATCCCATTTATCCAAAATGCAACAGATGCAATAACTTCATTGTGATCTGCATCCAAGGGGGTCATAGTGTATCTCTTGAAAACATTTCATACAAGCTTTCATCATTATTTATTATTTATGTATTATTAGCTCAATTTTTTCCGCGCATAAAGGGGTTTTGGGGTTTTGGGGTTTTGGGGTTTTGGGGTTTTGGGGTTTTGGGG